TTATTTTAATTTAATAAAATATAATTTAAATTTTTAATACTAAAATTAAAAGATTAAATAATAATGACTTTAATTCTTTAAATTGAGTATTTAGAAACTAAAATTATAGTTTCTCTGTTTTAAATAATTAAAATCAAAATAAAAATCAAAACTAGTATTATCTTCAATTTATTAAAAGTGTAATTAAATCTCTATTTTCATAATTTTTTTTGTTTCAAACTTCTCAATTCTACATTTTTGTAACTTCTATCATTATATTATCATCCTCATCTCCTCCCATGTTCTACTTTATCTTTACAATAGTTAATATTCTTAAATAATCTATATTTTTAATTATAAATTTTTAATATATATTTAGAAATTAATCAATTCTAATCTATTATTTGAAAAACTAATCAATTCTAAACAATAATTTAGAAAACTAATTGATTATAATTAATTATTTGAAAAAATTATCAAATATGATCGATCATTTTGAAAATATAATCGATCAGAATCGGATTTCGCTTGAGCGAGAGTAGTCTCGCTCAAGCTGAAATACACTTCGAATATCGTATAAACCTTAACCGCTATCTAATATACACTTCAGATAGCGGTTATAAGGGAACCGCTATTATATCCTCTCAATTATGATCGATCATTTCAAGTTATGATCGATCAGAATTGTATTTCGCTCGAGCGAGAGTAGTGTCGCTCAAGCGAAATACAACCCAAGAATGCCAATTTTGTGCAGGGGGCGTTTCGCTCGAGCGATACCATTGTCGCTCAAGTGAAATACATTTTAGATAGCGGTTCCACAAGAACCGCTCTTAAAAGGTCACTTCTAATAGCGGTTAACCATTAACCGCTATCATATCTTCTCAATTATGTTCTTCTTTTCATCGATCATAATGAAAACTTACATTAACTATTTTTTTGAATATTATGTTTTTAAATTTGCTATTAGAGAAAACCTTTCAGAATTCAAAATGTTAAATACTTTTAAATATTAAAATTAACTTTATCAAAAATTAGGAAAAAAAAAATTAATCCAAAAGAGTTCAAAAATGTATTATAATATTGTCAATTTTGAGTTTAATTATATTGTTCATTCTCAAAGTAGAAAAATATATTGTAATTAGTTTAATTTAATAAAATATAATTTAAATTTTTAATACTAAAATTAAAAGATTTATGTTGCATGAGGTTTCTTCACTTAAAAGATTTTGCAAAATGCCTCTACAAATGTTTTTAACAATTAAAAACAAAGTATTTTGACAAAAGCTTTCTCAAACAAGTTTTTAACTGATACAGCTTTGATAGAACCGATGAAAATTACTTAAAATGTCAAGTGAAATGTTTTTACAATATTTTAATCGATACAACTTGATTTTAATCGATTAAAACCACTTAAGGGTTCAGGATGATCGATCATAATGCAATTATGACCGATCAGAATCAGTTTTAATCGATTAAATCTCGTTTCAATCGATTAAAACAACTTAAAAATTTCTACACAGCGTTTTAATCGATTAAAACTTATTTTTATCAGTTAAAATAACTTGAAAAGTTTTACAAGAAAGTTTTGCAAGTATTTAAATCGATTGAATCGTGAAACAATCGATTAAATCAACTTAGAGGATTTTTTGTAAAGTGTTTTAATTGATATAAACGTTGTCGTATCAGTTAAAACAAATCTGTTAAAGAATCAAGAACGTATTAATGGATTAAAAGAAGTTTTAACAGATTAAAACTGCACTTTTAACAGATTAAAAGAATCTTTTAACAGATTAATTAAACCAGCAGCTTTGAAAATCTTCTATTAAAACAGTTTGGCTTGAACTTTTTTAACATACATTGAATATCATCTTTTACACATCCTTGAGCAATCAATCAAGCAAACTTCAACACTCTTTTCAAGAAAGATTCGCATCAGTTTTTGAGAAGTTCTTTGAAAATCTTTCTTGAGGCAACTTGATTTCTTTTGAAGAAGAAACACTTACAGCAGAATTGCATAAAGCTGGTTTGAGCATTCTAGTTTCTTCTTTTTCATTTCTTTACATTCTTTTTGTATTGTTTGGTACTTGGAATTTGGGCACTTGGTTTCTCTGCAAGTTGGAATTTGGTTGTAGAGGTTATTAAGAGCTGAAATTTGGTAATACGAGAAAACATTTCAGAAAGGAAAATGTTAAATACTTTTAAATATTAAAATTGACTTTATAAAAAATTAGGAAAAAAAAAATCAAAAAGAGTTCAAAAATGTATTATAATATTTTCAGTTTTAGTTTAATTATATTTTTCATTCTCAAAGTAGAAAAATATATTGTAATATTATTTTAATTTAATAAAATATAATTTAAATTTTTAATACTAAAATTAAAAGATTGAATAATAATAAATTTAATTCTTTAAATTTAGTATTTAGAAACTAAAATTATAGTTTCTCTGTTTTAAAAAATTAAAATAAATATTTAAAAATAAAAATCAAAACTATTATTATGTTAAATTTATTAAAAGTATAATTAAATCTCTATTTTCTTCAATTTTTTAATATAAATTTTTAAAATATAAATAAATTTCAATTGAAATTTTCAATTGAAAAATAAATTCAAGAATATTTGTTATTAAACTTTTCTTAAACAATGTATTGAATAGTTAACATCACTCTAGTCTTAATTTATTACAATTTAAATTTTTAATAAATTTGATTTATTACAATTCATTTTGTTAATATTGAGACCAAAGTTTATTTTTAAAGTATATTTTAAAAATTAAATTATTTTTAAAAACTAAATTACTTTTAAAAAATAAATTGTAAAAAATATACTAAAACAATTAAAGTATATTTATAAAAAAAAAAATATAATAAAAAAATAATATTCATTAGCGATCGATTTCAATTCGGTCGCTATTTTCTCATTAGCGACCGATTTTAATTCGGTCACTATTTCAATTTGTAATTCGGTCGCTAAATCGAGTCGCTAAATGATTTTTTTATTTCAGTATGAAATAGTCATCGATTTAGCGACCGAAATTTTGCGACGCAAAAATATTGGTCGTTATTTCGGTCGCTAAATAAAAAAGTGCAAAATAAATCATATTTTGGTCACTAAATCGGTCGCTAATTGCAACCAAATTAAAGTGGTCGCTGAATCGGTCGCTAATTGCGACCGAATTAAAGTGGTTGCTAAATCGGTGGCTAATTGCGACCAAAAAAATTCGGTCGCTAATTTCAGTGACTAAATGTGTTTTTTCTTGTAGTGCAAAAGTATTTAAATACTAAAGAGTTTTCATAATATACAACGAACATGACTTAAAAAAAAATGGAAAAAATTGTGCTAGGTAGAACAATTTCTTCACGCTAAATTGTACTTTCAAACATAATTTCACCCATTTTCTTAATTTGTTTCGAATTCAACCCTATCATGTAAACTTGATTTTATTTTTACCCAAATTATGTAAAATAATTAACCTGGAAGCTACATTGTTTATTACCTTGAAAATTTATTATATTTTTATTTTTATAAATAATAATACTTATTATTATAAAAAATATTTTTTTATTTTCTATTTATAATTTTTTTAATTTATTATTTTATTTTCATATTTTTATTCTTTTTTCTTTCATCTTTATCTTTTTCCACTTCAATTTCAAATATTTATAATTTTATTTTCATTATTTTATTTTATTTTTCTTTATCATTCTTTCACTTACATATTTTTCTCTTTTCCATTTTTACCTTATAACATAAAAATTATAACTTTTTTTAATTTTCACCTTTTTTCATAAAGTCAGTATTTCTTTTATTATTTTTATTCATTATTATAACATATTAGTATATATTTTATGTTTATCAGTTATAATTAGTTGTTTTAATATTTTATGTTGTTCAATTTTGATGTTAAAATATTAAAAAAAAATATGTTGAGTTTTTGAGATATTTAAGAAAAAAATTATATATTTATTTTCCAAAAATAAAAAAAATATAATAAAATAAATTTTAACTTATCAAATTTTAATTCAAAGTAATATTAAAAATAATACTGAATAACTTATCATGTAAACTATATAATAATGGATGATTTTTATAATATGAGGTATTGTGAAACACATATTTAATTTTATATATTTATTTTATGGTAATGTTAAATATACTTAAATAATTTATAACTTTTAATAATTTTATATAATATATTTATTTTCATACCATAATTAATTTGGATTTATATATACATTATTAGATGTGCTTCGACTTAATGATTGTCTATCAACTTACCAATTTCATTCAGTTTCTCAATACCATGAATTAGATTATCCTGAATTCATGATTCATGCATACCAACAACAACATAAAGCTTGGTACCAACCCATAAAATATATTGCAGCACCATAAACTTGTTCAGAATTAAGTTGTTTTAATAAGTTAATTATTGGAGATATGACGTAAATCTGCAATGCTTAAGGAAGAAATGACGAGAAAAGTAAGTGTAATTATAAACTTTAAGAGAAGATTAATCTAATTTTTAACCTGTCTTTAACTCTTCTTAGTTAACGTAGATAAAACTTACATATGATATTTTGAGTGTTGTTTATATTGTTTTTCAATTATAATTGAATTTTATTTTAGTAATTTGTGTAATAGATATTTTTTGTATTAATAATTATACAGGTTATCGATATAAAATTTCAATCCTAATACAAATGGAGAAGTAGTAAAAAGGTATCTAACTCCTTTGAAATTAATTAGCTCCAGATCATGCTAGCGAAGAAATAAATCTCCTAATCAGGCCTAGCTAAAAGAACACGTAAAACAATGGAAGAGTACAAATTGCAGACAATAAAATAACATCACTGGATCAATAATCATGAAGCATAACATCATAATAAAATAGAAAACTCATCATTCAACCAATTAAATTTTATGTGCTTTGAACCATTAATTAATATGCCGGATGAATTCATAAACAAAAAAATATTAAAGGATGAGTTTTCCAGGAAAGGAAGGGCATATGGAAAATTTTCACGAAATAATTGATCTTGTTCCTTCTGCAGCCTGCTCGTTAGCGCAAGGTAGTGAAAGTAGAGTCTCTGTGTACGTAAGCATGGTCGTATGCAGTCCAAATTGGCCACCAAAGTACCTTCTAAACTCTTTAAACTTTCCCTTGTTGTCACATTTTGCCAATGCATCATAACCATTGTCCCCAACAATATCACCACTTTTTGTAGAACAAATTGGAGAGAAGTATAGCATCTGAATATCATCAATACTCACAACAATGGTTTTGGACCAAGATAACTGCACTTTGTATTTTTGCATCGCCCATATTTCTATAGAATGAAAGTTGTAGCCCTTAACAATATTGAGCAATTCTCCAAGAATACAAATGTGTGAAAAATCAGCCTCAAAATTAGGTGGCAAAGGTATTTGGAATATATTTCTTTTTCTAAGATCGAAAGCAATAATAACATCAATGGGTATATCTGTATCCGGACAAGAAGCCAACCAATGAATAGAGTCATTCAAGGCAATTCCAGATTGGGTGTCAAAACAATAATTATGATTATTTTTACAAGTGAAAGATGTAGCATCAACTTCTTTCCACATATTTTCTTTGAGTGAAAAAAATTCAATGTAGTTTGCAGGATTATCTAAGCTCTGAAACACGTGAATGAGCAAATAATCATTTGTTGATGGATCATAACCAAAACCTTGGAGAAACATGGTAAAGATGGTACCTTTCTTACATGTCATAGGTGAATAAGAAACTTGTTTAGAAACTCGGGTGAATGGATTCCAAATACAAAGATGACAAAAATAGTCTAGTAACAAAAACCCTCTACAAGAACCTATTACTTTAACCCTTTTACAAGATTTGTAGGTGGGAATGGGTAAAACAATTGGAGAAACATCCCGTAGGGATTCATTGAAGTCTACAAATAAAACTTCTTCATTATCATCCATAGTTAAAACAAGTTTGTCTCTTGAAACTGCAGCTAATTTAAAATGTGATGTTGTAAAATATGGATCAGAAAGCAGAGAAAACCATGACTTACTCGAACATTTGAATCGAATAAGAGACTTCACTGGTAATCGTAACATTATTTCAATTACGAGATCCTCCGGAATAAAAATATTTTTCTTCATTCTCACTTCTATGAGATAATCCCAATGAAAAGGAATGGAGAAGGGGAAGGTTATTCCTTTTTGGCACGAATGATCGCTTTTATAAGTGTGTACATATGTGTGTAAATGGAAGTATCAGCGAAGATCTTGTTTTGGAAGCAAATGTGGCGATAGTGAAACCCTAATATGTCTTATGAGGCAAACTCAAGTTTGTTGTACATGGTATTTTGAAATTTTTTTAAAATAAAGTAGATCATAAATGATATATATATATATATATATATATATATATATATATATATATATATATATTGCAAAAGTCATAACTGTTAATACTAATATTGATAAAAGATTATTTACAAAAATTGTACATATTATCATAAGATTTTATTTATCTCAAACGGTTTCTATTATATGTTATTAATTAATCTGTTTCTAAAAAAAAACTGAGTCTTAAATTTTATCTTTCGAATATAGTATGTTTAGTTTTAAAATTAATGATTCAAATTATATCTTTTTTATCAAGTTAATTCGATTCAACTTAAAAAAATTAAAGTAAAATAAATGAAATAAATTTAATATATTAAATCAATTAATGAGATAAAATTATATTTAAAATTAAAATTATGATTTAAAATTTAAAATTTTAAAATAAACAAAAATTAAATTTTTCTTTTTTATAAGATATAATTTGACTACAACTAAAATAATTCAAATTATAAAGTAATAATAATAATGTTTCTATTTAAACATAATTAATTAAAAAATTAAATTAAAATAACAATAAAATATATTTTTTAAGTTTAAGTTATCTTAATAAAAATAATTTTTATTTTATATATAATAATTTAATATATAATTATTTACTCATAAAATAAGAATTAAAGATTTATTTTTTTATCATTATTTATATTTCAATAATTTATTAGTTTAAAATAATAATTTGTTTTAATAATTAGATTCTATTAAAAACTTATTTTTATACTTATCTTGTAAAACGAATGAATCTCTTATCTAATTAATTTATAATATATAATTTTTTTTAATAAAATAATATTATTTTTTATTTTTATCTAAAACATAATTATTATTTTATACAACAAATTCATCCCTAAATCTACGAAACTAATATGAACTAAAATTTATTTTATTCAATTTAAAATATAACTTTTTTTATTTAGATCTAAATTATTTTTGGGCATTTTAGATCTAGTCAAATCTCTTTTTATACGCCTAGGAAATAGTAAGACACTTTCAGATTTACTCGTGAAGTCAAATCTTTGATATGCCTAGAAATTAGCATATAGTGAGAGACTTTCAACTTTACTCATAAAGTCAAACTTATTTTAATATATTAAAAATTAGCATATAGCGAGAGACTTCGGAGTTAATTTTTGACCCTTTACAATATTTAGTGAAGTGATTTTACATGGAATAATTTTTTACATTTTTATATTTTTCTTGTTAACCAATATTTATTGTGAAAGCACATTATTATAATGAGTCCAAGTTTAAGGAGCCTGAGTACGATAATAAGTTTATTTTCAATTTATTTAAAAAATTTATTATATCTTGCACTTTTTCTACCGAATAGGAGCTCTGTCCTTTATCAACATTCAACAATTATCCAGGAACACAAAAGTGTGAAAATTATGGGAGTCAAAATCAGTTGGCAAACGAAGTAATGTTTGAAAATTGAAGTGCCCAACATTAACTTTACCTAAGATTACTAGGTTTTAGGACTCCAATGAAGAACTTTTCAAATAAGTTAAGAAGAATCAAAGTCAGAAATTGACATTTATTAAATAGACAAAAAAAATTGTTTTGAACAATTACAATTTAGAAAGAGATATGCAACTAACAACTAAAAAATATCACGTTATATATTTATGATTGAGTTATTTTTCAAAGAATATTAATTTTGTTGGGATAAGTTACAAATGTTTTATACATCAAAGGAAAATGAGTAAAAAACTTGTTTGTAGACACTTGTGGATGGATGGATACGAGAAAAAGAGTGTGAAAAGCGAAAACCATAACCTATTATTTTAATCCTTTTACAATGTTCGTTGCTGGGAAACTAACTTTTAATTAGCGCCACAATAGTCGTGAAGGGGTGCATTAAAATCTACAAATACCACTTCTTCAATATTTGAAAACCATTCTTCTTTAAGAATACTATCACTGTCTCGTTATTTCCTCATTATCAATTTCTTTTTTTATGAAATTAATTTGATTATAATTAAAAGAATAATTTATTCTAATCCAACAAAAATATTATCCTCAAAAAAAAAACTATGCATACAATAGAAAAACATTAATTATAAACCCAGTTAAAATATCCTATTTTTTTAGTTTCAAATTCCAACTTAGAATTCATTGACAATAAATAAAATGATTTATCGATACATAAATCAGGCCCAACGAATATAAAAGCACGTAATATTAGACTCTTTCCAACGTCATCCTTCACTAAACAGATATCTATTGCAGAATATAACCAACACTTTTATACCAATTTATTTATCTCAATTATTTCGCAACTAGTTTTATATTAAAATTTAACATAATTTCTTAGTTTTCTTAATCCCATATGTAGTGAGATTTTTTTAGTCATTGGTAAATATATAAAGTAATGTAAAAAAGAGTCTCCTATTCTAATCTTAATTTTTTTGGATATGACAACTGCAGAAGTTTTTAATATGTTATATATTAATTTTTCGTATCAGTTATGAAGGTAAAAGATATAACTTCAGTTTACCGTATGTTCCGTTTTGATCTATATTTATTTTGGTTATTCGATACGATTGAAAAAAGAGAATATATTTAAACGTTTATCAAGGTACATGTATTTTTTTTAATGAACATGAGACATTGTTCGTGGCTTCTACGCACAGTAAGGATTTTTAGATTTCACTCGTCTTGTCTATATTTCCTCATTCTAACTTTATTCCAATCTAAATGCTTATTTATTTCTTAATGGCGCTAAAATACAATAACTTTCTAAATTAATTTATTTTAAACTTGTGTTTATATAATATAATTTGATTCAAATTTTCTTTCTATTTAAATTTGGGACATCTTTTTTAAATGTCGGTATTTTAAATATAATATAATTATTTATAAATATGCCTTTTGAGCTTATAGAATAATACACTTTAATACATTAATTTCCTAAATCACTATATGTTTAATTTATATAAATATTAATATAATTTATTTCAAATTTACTTCCTATTTAAATTTGTCTGTCGTCAACTGAAATTCTAGATTATAATATTATAAGGTGTGACACATTGTTTGCATTTATAACATATATTAAATGATTGTAAAAACACTCGCCATGTCAAATTAATGGAATTTTAAATGCGATGTTTTTTTCATTTTTAGTTAACAACATTTTATTGTTTTTTAATCTTTTATATGTATCAATTTATCTATTTGTTTAATTTAATATATATGTACAAAAATAACCTTAAATTTAGAGAATATATACATATATTTAAATTCACAACGAAAATTTATATAAAAAAGAAAAAAGGTAAATATGAATAAAATGTTTGTGTGCATTGTGTATTACATAATAATAAATATATAAAAATATTATGACAAAAAAAATAGTGTGTTGTAGGTTTTATTTATTTCAAATTTCTATGTATTAAAATTAGATTTTATTTAGCTCGGGACCTGATTTATATTATATATTAGATTAAGATAGTTTTTGAAAAGATAAGTTCATTTAAAACATATTTTATGCTGATAAATATCAATTATTAATTTTAATACAATGTTTTTATTTTGAAATTGATTATTCAATTAATTTATTTAAAAAACTTCAAATAAAACTAAGTTCAATGTTTTTAATATATTTTCTCTCTCAAAATGTTAAATCAATTTAATTTATATGTGAATATTATAGGAAATTGATTTTTAAAATGAATTATGATTTCAAATTTAAAAATAAGTTGAATTTAAATGTTTATCATTTGTGATGATAAAATGTTAATTATTAATTTTAATATTATATGTTATTTTTCAATTATTAATATTTTTATATTTACTAATTTATTTATTATTTAACTTCTCTTATTTTATATATTAGGATTAAATGTATCTGATGAAATAATTTATGTAAATCAATATCATATTCTTTATTATAATAGTGTAAATTTAATAATAACAAGCTTTATATTAAATATAATAGTTAGATATATAGATAATAGAAAGTAATTTATTCTAAGAATAATATATATATATATATAAATTAATTTAGTCATATAAGATAATAATTATGAATAATAATATATGTGATATATCCCTTCCATGGGAAAACTGAATTTAATTAATTATTCATATTTCGGTACAAGTAAACATTTGAGGAATTGAAAACAATGATACTTTTTTATTATTTTTGTAATATATCAAAGTATCTTTAAAAAAAATTAAGAAACAAAAATTTTAAAATGAATAATTTCTCAAAATATAACGATTGACTTTGTCGATATCATTTATACGGATATTATTATGAATATGGTTGAGGGTCTTGTCCTATGTAGCTATGTCATTTAACAACGTTGAACAATTATCCATAAACACAAAGGTGTGATGTGAAAATTATCAGACTAAAAAATAGTTGGCAAATGGATCTTTCAAATATTCATTCCATTCAAATCAAAACCAACAATATTACTGTTAATATGCATATCAGATTCCCACAAACTGTGACATTAACACAAGATTATCAATAGTTGATAAAATTATTTCCAAAAACCCCTGTCTTGTATTGAATATGATAGCACAATATATACATGAAATACAGAAACATTCTAGGCTATAATTACGCTAACCATTATAGTCGGTATCCTAAATTTGTCTATTAACAGATATGACATTAATGTGCATCACTGTGCATCGCTGTCATGCCAAGCTAAATATGGAAAAAATTAATCATGTAGAATCATGGCATGATACGGTATTTGTAATCGTATATTCTATGTTTATCACCCTCCCTCAAGATGGAGTATGAAGGTTATGAATGCCCAACTTGCCTAAAAAAGAACCAAATTTAGTGGCGCCAAGAGATTTGGTGAAGAGATCGACCAGTTGATGATGAGTGGACACATAGGAGGGTTGGATATGATTGTGTTGTATTTCATCACGAATAAGATGACAATCCACTTCAATATGTTTTGTCCAGTTCATGAAACACAGGATTCTTGGCAATGTGAAGGGCAGCTTGGTTGTCACGATGAGAGTCATAGGGTCGGTGTGAGTAATGCCTAGGCTCGAAAGAAGGCCTTGAAGCCATTTCAACTCACATGTCGTGTTGGCCATAGAACGATATTCCGCCTCAGCGGATGATCGAGAAACCGTATGTTGCTTCTTGGTTTTCCAGGAAACGGGGGATTGACCAAGGAAAATAAACCAACCGGTGAGAGATCTTCGAGTGAGAGGACAACTTGCCCAGTCCGAGTCACACCAACCATAAAGACGGAGGTCACTCTCTCTTTTTAAAAGCACACCCGACCCGGGCTGCCCTTTAAAAAGCGTACCACGCGAGTGCAGCCCGCCAATGCTCCTGACGCGGTTGGTGCATGAATTGAGATAGGACATGAACACCGTAAGATAATTCAGGTCGTGTAAAACACAAGTAAATAAGGCGACCGACGAGACGTCGATATTGACTCGGGTCGGAAAGTAGTTCGCCATCGGCCAATGCTAAACGATGATTTTCTTCGATTGGCGTGGACACGAGTTTCCCTCCAAGCAATCCTCGCTTCAGCTATGATGTCCAACGCATACTTCCGTTGACACAAGAAAATTCCTGTAGGAGATCCGGCAACCTCCACCCCAAGAAAGTATTTTAATTTCCCTAAGTCCTTCATACGAAAACATTGATGAAGATAATCTTTGAATTGCGCAATGTCTTCATGATGATTGCCAGCAATGACTAGGTCATCCACGTAAACTAACACAACCGGTTCGACATCTCCTTTGCGAAAGATGAACAAGGAGTGATCGGACGAAGAACGTTGAAACCCATATTGAACAAGAGCAGTTGAGAGCTTGGCAAACCAACACCGAGGAGCTTGACGAAGACCATAAAGGGACTTGCGGAGACGACACACCATACCCTTTTGAGACACCAAGAACCCCGGCGGCATTTTCATGTACACATCTTCCTCAAGATCGCCGTGCGAGAAAAGCATTATGGACATCCATTTGATGGAGTTCCCGGTCTTTGGCTACTGCCACTCGCCAACACTGTCCAGAATGGTGACCATCTTTGCCACTGGGGCAAAGGTCTCGTCATAGTCAATCCCCTCAACTTGGTGATTTCCCAAGACAACTAATCGGGCTTTGAAGCGTTCAACGCTCCCATCGGAATGATATTTGATTTTATAAATCCACTTGCAACCCGGAGGCTTCTTCCTCGCCGGTAGAGGAGTAATGTCCCATGTTTCATTACTTTGGAGGACCTGAATTTCACTAGCCATGGCATCTCTCCATCTAACATCCCGAACAGCTTCAAAGAAATGCACGAGTTCTCTCTCGCATGAAGGGCTGCAAGAAAGGTTCGGTGGGGGAAGGAGAATTTAGCACAATTTAAGTACTTTGTCAAACCGTAAGGCATACCCGAGGAAGCCGAATGTGGAGTGCGAATTGAGGGACCGAGTTGTAAAGTGGTGTTAGTGACATAATCACGAAGCTTCACGAGATGGCTTTCGTACACGAAGACCTTTCCCCGGGGATGCAGGGACAGTATGCTCCTCGGGAACCTCTAGTTCTGTCATCATAGAGTCGGTTTGTTCCGGTGGGAGAACGATCCGGGTGGGAGGCTCTTGTTCATGGCATTCGGCGTGGCCCTCCCTAAACTCGGTTGTGGGCACATCTTCGTTGTGGGGTTAACGTCATCGGTCTCCACAACGTGTTCTCGCATTGTTCATTGCACCAAGTCCAGACAATGCTTCCTCGACAATGCCAACATCAACGAGTAGGCAATCCTACCTCCGAATGTCTATCGTGGGCAAGAGAGGCAAACGGAATTCATGTTCTACAAACTTAACATCTCTCGAAGTCCAGAAGACTTCTCTTTCCAGATCAAACAATTTTCAGCCCTTTTTTCGATTGAATATCCAACAAATACATTCTTGCGACTTCTACTTGCAAATTTGTCACCTTTCCTATCTTGGTTATGTGCATAACACAAGCATCCAAATACCCGTAGATGGTCATAAGTGGGTGGCTTCCCATTCAATATTTCATATGGAGTTTTTCCATGGAGAACGGTTGAGGGTGTACGATTGATCAAGTATCCTGCGGTCAAAATGCATTCTCCCCGAATTGAAGTGGAAGTTCTCCCCGAAATCGTAGAGCACGAGCTACATTTAGGATGTGTCGATGTTTTCGTTCGGCTCTCCCATTTTGCTCGAGGTGTTCCAAGTGCATGAGGTTTGATGGAGTATCCCATGTTGCTTGAAAATATCGTTGAATACACATAAACTCGGTTCCATTGTCACTTCGTAATATTTTGACTTGTTTCTCGTATTGTCGTTCTATTAAGGCGATGAAATGCATTAAGGTTTGTGACACATCTTTCTTATTATTCAAGAGATATATCCACACAGCTCGAGAACAGTCATCAACCAAAGTGAGAAAGTAAGATGCACCACAAGACGAGGGAGTTCTATATGGACCCCATAAATCACAATGTATTAAATCAAATATATTGGATGCTTGAAAATCACTTAAAGGAAATGTGTTTCGCATTGCTTTGATCTCTCACACACTTCACACACATGAGTTGTATCCGTATTTCTATTCACGCTGTTCAGATGCGGAATTTTTCTAACAATCTGGTAGGCAGGATGTCCCATTCGCTTGTGCCAAATCTCTAGTTGATTTTCTGCATTGGTCTGATACGCCTTTATGCCACTCACACCACGATACCAATAGAGTCCATCTTTTCGTTCACCCGCTTCAATCAGCATCCTCAAAGTGTGGTCCTGCATTGCACAAAATCTATCGATAAAATGTACTCGTACATTTTACTTCATTCAGTCAATTGTGATACTGAAATCAAATTGCAATTCAATTTCGGAACATATAGAACATGTTTAAGTTTCAGTCCTCCATCAAGGAAAATCGATCCTTCTTTGTTTGCCAGCACCAATTCACCATTTGGTAGTCCCACTCGGGCACCCTTCCAAGGCTCGACTCTCCCTCAAGTTTTCTAGTGTTCCTGTCATATGATTAGAGGCGCCACTATCAATAATCCACAAGTCACATGCTTTCTTACCGAGTCATCTTTTCAGCTTCATTTGTCTTGCGAGAATTCAACATTGCTTGTCAAGATCTGCCATTGCTCATTACTCGGTCCTGCGACTTCCGGTTTTTCGGTTGAACCAACGTTATCCGCACCAGCTGTGCGCCATATTGACGCGAGCCGTTCCTCCTTTTCCTCGGAAGGTTCCGGTTCTTTGTTGATTTTTTTTCATCGTTTCTATCGATTCGTGGTCTCTCTCCCCACCATTCTGGGTAACCAATGATCTTGAAGCAATTGCCTTTGTCATGTCCCTTCCTTCCACACTCGCATGCAAACAACCGATTTTTCTTTCGCTTCATTGCGCAACTTGTTCCTCGGTTTCCGCTCGCATAGCCATTCCCACGATCATTCCTCGCTCTTCTTTAGACTCCGGTGATTGTTCTCACCCTTTCTTCTTGCACCATGGTGCCATACACCCGATTCAACGAGGGTAATGGATCTCGTTGCCAAAACATTTGACCGTGCAGTTCCATAGCCCTCATCATCTAGCCCCATCAAGAACCGATGAATTTTTTCTTCTTCTCTTCGTTTCTCAAGTTGCGTCATAATATTACACTTGCATCCCCCACATCTACACTCGTGGGATTTGCTCGTAATTTTCCAGTTCATCCCACAACGTTTTCAACTTCCCATAATAGGAAACCATAATCATTCCTTGTTGTTTGCATTCTGCCAACTCGACTTTAGTCGCTGGATTCTTGGTCCGTTCACGATCGAGAATCGTTCCTTGATGTCATCCCATAGGTCCTTTGCGTTTTCCATGTATGCAACAAGTGGAACGCAAACTAGGTTCTATAGTGTTTAGTATCCAAGATACAAGCATCGATTGAATTGTCCACCAATCTTCTATCTCGGATGTGTCTTCTTCGGGTTCCTTATGAGTTCCATCTATGAAACCCCATTTCCTTCGAGCCCGCAGAGATATCTTCACGGCCCTTGCCCATTCCTCGTAATTCTCTCCTCGTAATTGTACCCGTGTAATCACATTTCCAGGATTATCACCGGCACTCGGATCGTATGGCGATGGTGTTTTCTTCACCGCCTCTCCTCTCTCTGCCATTTTAGAAGTACGATCGTGTTCTCAGGTCGTTGGATATCGAGTTTGGTTCGCTCTGATACCATGATAAAATTATTTCCAAAAACCCCTGTCTTGTATTGAATATGATAGCACAATATATACATGAAATACAGAAACATTCTAGGTTATAATTACGCTAACCATTATAGTCGGTATCCTAAATTTGTCTATTAACAGATATGACATTAATGTGCATCACTGTGCATCGCTGTCATGCCAAGCTAAATATGGAAAAAATTAATCATGTAGAATCATGGCATGATACGGTATTTGTAATCGTATATTCTATGTTTATCAATAGTCAATATATCACATTATAATCCACCGACATCAATTTCAAATAA